AATTATAAGACTTCCATGTTGGCAACGTACTAATCGGTGGGTGACTTCAATCTATTTACATTGTTACTATTGTAAATTGGGAGAGCAGGTAACGTTGCACGGTTTAGCTCCAATAGTTAACAGGTAATAGGTAGGAATCGCTAAGATTATAAGGAAAATTGGGAGAGCGACTTATAATAACGATAATAACTATATTGGGGATGGTTTAGAAAGGGATAGGGATGATATAATCAACGATATAATCAATTGGGATGGCGATATAATAAAGGGAGGCCGGGGATACTCTAATTTAAACAATCGGGAGTTAATCTTAAACGTATAATAAACTAATAACTTAAAAGTGATCTTAACGTTGATCACTATTCTAATAACAAAAAAACGTAATCTAAACTGATTGATCCTATTAACAATCCTATTTCTAATCTTATGTCGTTAGTCGTAATATTTCTAGACTTAATACAAATTATCCAGTATACGGCTCCTAGTTACTCAGAGAAAGGTCTATTCAGCCTTAATGCTTACTTTCTTTATGTTAAATAAGAGACCCAGCGTATACGCTATTCGTTAATCAAAAATAATAATAAAAAAATATGGGGAGGAATCAATTATTTATTTAGCGGGTTTAAGGTAATTTAAGATTTGGAAAGTTAAAGATTTTAAATGCGAAATAATGGTCTGTTTATTAAGATTTTGTTTATTACACTCGATAACTAACGTTTTTGGAAGGCTTTGAGGACCTATATTTATACATTTCACTTCTATAAAGACTAATCTCGTTATTCTAATGTCCTACAATGTATACGTTTTACTATCATCGCGTATACGTTTTACTATCTAAAACATTTCCCCACCAGCCCCAATAAACTAAAAACGGAAATATCTAATATAATTAAATAAACTGACAGGGAGAACCGTGGTTTTTGGGCTGGGGACCCATTCAGATCCCAATAACATTACTGACTTGGGATTATGTCGGTTAGTTAACGAAAAAGAATAAAGGAAAAATTTACAGAGTTTTGTCTTATGTGGCTCCTGAAGTTTACACGGCGAAACTTATACTCAAGCGACTGATATCTATTCTTTTGGAATAATATCTTATGACGTTATTTCGGGATTACACCTTTATTATGATAAACCTCATACCCAAAATCTAAGTTTACAAGGCTTGCGGCCAAATTTAGAGCACCACGACTGTTAAAGGATTTAATTGCTAAGTGTTGAGATGCTGATCCTAAACAAAGACCAACTTCCAGTGAACTAGAAAAGTCTCTAAGCGAATGACGGGAAGAAATACATAATGAAAATTCTGAATTTTTTTGGCAAGCTTGAGAATCCGAGGAATCCGACATTAAAAAATCAATTAACTGCTGGCTTCGAGGTAACGGAAAATAAAGAATGATAAAAAAGTGAAAATTTAGAATAGTACCTAAAGGGTAACATTTATTTAACTGCTGGTATATTTTATCATAAACAACTTACTAGTATTAGCCTTTATAAAGAAACCCTTAAATAATTATAGCTATATAGCGATAGTATTCTGAAACATTCAGATCACCTGATTTGCAGTTTTTTACAGGGGTAGACTTGAAACTTTTGCACGAAGATGTTTTACAACCTAATGCGTAAAATGCTATATAATTTTAAATATAACATATAAAAACTTCTATAAAATATTCTATTTAAAATATTTTATGTTATTATTATAGTAATTACTACTTCACTATAACTAGAAAAAAATACTGCGCTCAATTTTATAATAAAATTGGCTGCGATGATCATTTTTTTTACTATTGATATACAGTAGCCTCTTACAGGGGGGGACATGTCCGCTGATCGTTATCACGATAAATCACTAATGATTTTAATAACCTGTACTTTCCGGATTCAGGTTTTCCCTTCATATATAATTAATCTTTTCGATTTAAATGATATACGGGGTGGAGTCAATAGAAATCAAGCAAATTTTTTCTAAGTAAATTTTTTTGAAACTTTAACCAACAATAACTTAGCAAAAACTTTATCAAAATTAATAAAAAATTTTTTTAAAATAAATATTACCAATTGTAGAATTCATTTAAAAAATTTTTATTAAATTTGATAAAGCT